ACTGGTCCCAGATCAGTCTGAATTAAATATGACAGTGGCAGCTGTGCTTTGCTGTTTGAATCCTAATTACATGAGCTCACATGGTGAAGAGATTGTAGTCTCTCGCGAGAGAGAGAGCTAGTCAGGGTGCCTCCGAGCAGGTGATGGGAGCCGAGCTTGCGGGGGCACCGCCATCTCGGACATGTGGATGGAAAGCGAGGAGGGAGGGGGGCGTGTCTGCTGTACTGCTAATCCAACATGGGACACGAGAACCTCTGATGAATCCTCGTTATGGCCTGGATTTTGACCTTGCCATTTAAAATGCAAACGACACGTAAACAGGAATGTTCGGTTCAGTTCGGCCCAGCCCAGGGGCGAATCCTAGAAAGCAGCAAATCACCCATTACGCTTGTGCGACTTTATTCAGCAAAACACTGCAGAGCAGCCACAACATTACCAGGTTATTTGATCAGAACCAGATATTTCCGGTTCCAAGCAGACGCACGCGCCAGCAAGCAGGAGGGCGGACGGTGATGAATCCCGGTAGGTGCTGGAGCAGGGAGGGGTTGGGGAGAGATGATGGCACTCGACCTTATGGGACAGACGTACGCAGATCAGTGACGAGACGCGGAGGAGGGGGAGAGTAAGAGACAGAGACAGAGGGATGAATGAGGAAAGGCTAAGGGTGTGGATGGCAAAGCGGGGCGGCATGACCGCTGAATCATCCCACACAATGGGTGAGAGCTGTCGCCAAAGAATGGACTATCGAAAAAACTGGAAGTGCGTGTATCTCACTTGGATGTTTTCAGGCAACGCTGCAAGGCAGTAACCATAACAAGAGTAATATATACCTGAAAAACACGCACGGGTTTCTCCACTCTAACACAGCGTGCCAGTTTCCCTTTCGTACATTGTGCACATTCCTTCATAAATAGTCAACACCTCATAATGTGCACCTTTGTCCCCTTGTAGGGGGTGCCCATATGTGCTGAGGGGCAGGGCAAGACAAGCTTAAACCCCACCCCCCAAACCTCCCAGGCCAGTTGCACAGCTCACTACTTCGCCCGAGTATGCGGACCTAGCCGGTTATCGAACTGGACCGATGGTGATGTGAGCACCAATGCAAATATCCAAGTACAAGAATTCTCTGTCATGGTCATCAAAAGGATTAGTTGCAGAGAAGCAAATTTGAATAGAGTTTGCTTAGTGTGTATAAATATACATGACATGGGACTTCAGAGAGGCACAATGCATCTTCCTCCCTGCATTTCATACCATGTTTGAGGCAGCAGGCAGCCTTTGTGGATCTCCGTATCACACGTGGGAACGCCCACCCGCCTCTTTCTGAAAAAAGCCACCCTCGCTCCTCATCCATTGTGTGCCAGGAAATAAAGTGACTTCTCGAACAAAAATAAGTGACAAGTACATTTCATTCTTCCACCAGCTAATTAAAATGCATAATCGCCAAAGATTCTGCCTTCGTGTATGACTGTTCTGCATTATTATTGACCAATTCAGTTATGCGAGTACTGGGCACCAGCAACCGTAGGGCTGACCCAAAGTACAGTAAAAACGGCCGAAAAGCATGACGGTGTGGGGGCGAATACAGCAGCAGTAAAACCAAATTAATCTTGATCTCACAACGGAAGGAATGCTTCCTTATGAGCTGTGACAGCGCAGCATTTCTGTACTTCAGATACCAGCTTGGCCGGTTTCTCCCCAGAAATCACAAAATTTACTCGGATGAGTTATTTTTGCTCAAAGACAAATGTGCAAGCACTAAGGTGCACAAGTATTTTTAAAACACAAAATATCTTTAGGTAAATGAGATCTAACCTCGGGTGTAAGTTTTCCGGCCGTCCTCAAACAGCTTTTCCTCATGATGGTCACGGTAGATCTACTTTTCGTCAACGTGAAAAGTGAACACCAGTACAAACCAGAGACAGATTCACAGGCACACCACAGCACACATCCAGGCTAGCTTTCAGCTGGGAGGGAGCACTGCAGTACATTTTACCTGGTATTAAGGTTAAACAGGCTGTAAGCCGATTAGGCTACTGGTCTGAGTAAGAGGTTAATCTTTATCACTTTATCATTAATCTTTTAAGTGGCACTGACAATTTATGCAACATGGACAGCAGACTAGGGAGGGAAAGGGGATGAGCAGGACCCGAGGAGCAATTAAAGCAGGTACCATTCGACAAAGAACCAAGCCGGGAGTTCAGACAGATTGGACACCTATGGCCTTTCAGTTTTCCACACCGCGTGGCTTGATTTCTGTTTATGTATAGACTGGGTCATAAAACAAAACAAAAAAAGAACAAAAGTAGACTCAGGTAGGTCTAGTTACAGGGTCTGTCGAACAGAGATCACCGGGGGTCGCATATTGCTGACTGTTGACTGGCCATCGGGAGAGTAGAGTAGCCACAAGCTTCCTGATGGGCAGTCATCTCCACACCTTCTAGCCAAACAGTGCTCGCTTGATCAGACCCTGACGTGTCATCTAGGCCAGTAGAGGTCTGCCATTTGTTGGCTGCTAGTTACAGGCGGTACTGAAACCAGTCCAGTTCATCTGTGACCAATATGGAAAATTGGGGGGGGGGGGGTTTCGAAACATAGGGGTGACACGCACACACGGTCATCTGCAGCCTTCTGATTTGCTGTGAAAAGCACAACTCATCTCCATAATAAGAGCTCTCTAAAAGCACCCATCTCAAAGACAAGCAGCTCCACTCCCCCCCCCCACCCCCACATCTGAAGCTGTCTCATTACCAAACTCCATGTGAACGAACGTGTAGAGCAACAAACACTCTCCCCCCCCCCAGTCAATGGAGAGCAGAACTGTTTCCGGTTTCACCAATAACAGCATGAGATCCACATCTGGGATGTGCTGTCAGGCTACAAGCGTGGTTAAAAAAACAGGGGGGTTTGAAACATCATCTTTGACGTATGTGGGCCACACAACCCTGTCAAAGCCGGACCCAGCCGGATTTTCAGCAAACGATCCTCACCTGGCCCATACTAACAGAAAACCCAAGACATTTTAGCAATGCACATAAAAGGATATTCCTTAGTGACCAGGGGTTAGAGTCTCATGCTGGGCTCTCGCTAGTGAATGACAAACCCAATGGTCCACCCTGTGTAGTAAAACAACTGAACCATCATAGATTAACCAAACAGCTGCTTTTTAGGGACCTAACCTGATAAGGTGGCAAAAACTCAAATCCCAGTTTACCGCGAGCCAAGAGGACAACAACTAAAAAAAAAATGTTAAAACATGGACCAAATATTATATCAAAATGAATATTTTTTTTTCAGGAATAGAAAAAGATCAACTGTGGTGTTTCATGTCATATTGAAACCATAGCAAAACATTTCCCCAATTTGTCATGGGACTGCGATAACCCCAGCCAAACCTGCTTCGGTATGAATTCTCATGCAGGAACATTGCTTAATCATCGTCCTACATTAAAATGAATACTGAAGCCACCTGAATACTGACCATATGTAGTCAAAGTCACGAACGAGTCAGGCGACCCACAGAGCCAAACTTTCTATGACGAAAGTCAATGTGGACAATGTGCACAGTATATGGGTCTCTCTGCAGTCACCACTCTAACGTCGTCACGACAGGAGCAAGAATTAAGAAAAAGAAGGGAAAAAAAACAGGGTAGCAATCGGATATATTTGAAGATAAACATCTAGTCCTAGATAAAAAGTTATCTGTTGCCAAAATACTGGTGTTTCAATAATGGCACGCCGTTAGCAGATTGTTCATTTTCTCTGGTTACGCTTCTAAAACAGATGAACCTCGTGTTTGGCGATAAGTCAGCGACTAAATATAGAGGCGTCCGGCACCTCCGTCACCCAACCGCGTATCTGCCAGGAAAGCATCTACTCAATGAAATAGGCCGCCGGGGCCAGGTACGATTACGAGTAACTCGCAGCTGCCAGCCTTTACTTGGACTGAACTGACGATAATTCCCTTTAACCACCCCCCGTAATGACCCTCTGACGCCAATCTCACTGGACTTTAATTCCGTAGCAGGAAATCTTCCCTCAAAAACATACGGATTACAGCATTGATTAAAAGCAATAAAAAAAAAAAACACAAAACATCGGGTTCAAATATCCAAGCGCAATTCACACACCAAGGCCAGGTCAACATTAAACGAACCTTAACATAAGTTCCCTTAACAATACATGTACATATTTCTCACTCACTAACAAAACAGAAACCGGGATGAATTGGATGTATGTGAATGCATATTGTAGGCATAATTCATAGCTCATTACTCATAGGTCTAAATGTATTTGAAATGCGAGAGGGATTTAAATTTCAGGTTTCAGTGGTTTTGAAATTTGTCAACTTTGCACGCTCCCTTCCTTTGGTTGCAAAAAAGGTTATTAAGGTGTCAAGAAGGAAACGCGATCGTGGGATTAAGGTGCGCGGTTTTACGAGGTGGCCGCCAAGACTCTCCGAGTCTCCCGATCAAACAGATCGTACGTAGGCCTATCCGCGACGTGATACAACGTGATAGCTCAGCTCACAAAAACGACAAATCCCTGGCAGACCACGCCATTACAAAAAAAAAAAGCCACCATGCAACACCTCGCTTTAAGGCTATACCGTAACTGAATGGCGCTCCCACGCATCACACTTCGCATGGAGTATCACCTAGCGCAGCCGAGAAAAGCGTGCTGAAAAATAACAGATATACAAACTACGAATGTCCAATTAGCGAAAAAACATCTGTTCGTTGGTAATTATGCGGACACGAGACAGAGTCAATGACGAAGCGGGGACACGGGTGTTTGTAAGTGTCACCGGTCATATTAATGATGCAGCTGATGCACCGCTACACATTAACATATCTGTGCGCCTTTGGGAAATTAAACTAATGGACTGTGCTGATTACTGGCGACGGGGCGGTGTATGTCATGCCCGTGCACAGCAGCGTGCTCGGACGCAGCTGAGGCTGCGCCTGAATGCAGGATCCATACGCCTACGTCTTGCTCACCTTCTTGCCGGTGGAGCCTGTCTTGGAGAGGCAAGAACGGCCCAGGGAGAGGTAGCCGCCGATAACCTCAATCTCCTCGGCTGCTGGGTACCGTTTCTTCAGCAGGGACCCTAGCTGTGTGTATGGCGCCTGCTGAGAGGTAGTGCTGGCCGGGGCGCCAGCAGCGGGATCCTGGAGCTCTTGGGAACCGGGTTCTGGTCGTCGTTTGGGTACCACTGTGAAGGTGTTCGGCGAACGACGATGCACCACTGGACTTGGGACCACCTGGGAGGGCTCCACCTCAACATCATCGATGTTGGTGACAGGCAGCTGATCAGTCTCCGCTGGCTGCGCAGGGGGTTCCAGTTCAGGTCCTGGGGGTGGCGAGGGGCAGGCGGGGAGCTCTGGTTTTGGAGGGTCCGTTTTGGCTTGCCTGGTGGCCCCCTCGCTCTTCTTGGCGGGGGAAAGGGGTGTGGTTGGCACAGCAGCCAGGGTCACCGCTGCCACATAGTCCTGTGGCGGGGTGGGCGAAGGTGGGGATCGCACAGGGCTAGATGGCGCGGTGCTACCCGGAGAAGCGATGGGACCCCGACGCCGAGGGATGACGGTGAAGGAGTTGCGCGATTGCAGGCGCAGGTTGGCGAGGGCCCTGGCCTGGATGTCACCAGGAGGCAGGGCCGATAGGTCGGGCCGTGGGGCCAGCCGGAACTCAAACCCGGGGGACGGAGGCGATGGCGGTGGAGAGCAAGAGGCAGGCGACTCGGCACGTGGGCAGGGCTTCTCCGGCGAGCATGGCACCTTGGGTTTGGAGGACAGCTCGTCCGGCTCCCTTGGGAGTTTAGCTGGGGTCCGATCCTTTCCATCGGAGGGGTTCGCCGGCATGTCACGCCCACCCGGGACCTCAAAGCGCTGACGGAAGGAAGACACGGAGGGCGAGCCATCAGAGTGGCCGATGCCCTCCTGCTCATCTGATGAGGATTGCGATGTGGTCTTAGAAGACTGAGGACTCTGGAAGACAGATGGAGACTGCGAGCGCTCCGGGCTGTGAGTGACAGAGGCGGACTGATGTGGGACCTCCGATTTTGGCACTAGGTCCGGCTTCGCTGAGATTTGGGGTCTTGGCCTGATAGAGGGGGTCTCTAGGTCCAGCAGGTTTTCTGTGCTGTGAGACTTAGGCTGCAGTTTCCCAAAATTACGGTCGAATTTCTGCAGCATGCGACTGACTCTGCCCTGACCCACACCCAATCCCGCGGTCATATCAGAACCCGGACGTCCCAGCGTGCTCAAATTCTCCTCACTTTTGCTCAGAGAAGAATCATAGATGACTACCTCTTTCGCGCGTATCTCGGTCACCGCACTGCCTCTCCGGTCTATCAGGTCATTGAGGGAACTGTAGCTGCCCACCGTACCGTTTTGCTGTACCCTGGAACCAGTTTTACCGCTGCCAGCCTCGGGGAAGTAATCCGGATCGGATTCGATGATGATAATATTCTCAGCGCGGATCGTCCGGATTCCGGGGACGTTGCCATATAACTCCAATATGTGCTGTACTGGCCGTGAGACGTTGTCGCGGTCATGCCTCTTCTTGCGCTCCTTCTCCAATTTGATGAATGGGTTCTCCTGTAACGGGCCTAGACTGTCCTGTAGTACGAGCCTCTCTTGTTCCCCGTGATCACTGTCAGTTTTCTCCGACGAGGTCGACTCACGCTGGTCGACGGTAGCCCAGGGATCTTTCTTTGTTTTCACCGGAGAAAGCTCCGGGGAGGCGGTGGTGCTGCCTCGCTTGACAGCGAAGTGGTGCCTGGCTGTGTTAACGGTATAGTTCCTGCTGGTGTTCGCACCGGTAATGCTATCTTTATTTTTGGAGTCGCCGCTGTCTCCCGTTACTTCACCATTAACCCGGGATGCGGTGGCGCCGGAGCAAGGCTCGGATGCACCTGCTCCAGCCGCGCCGCCTTTCGCCTTCCGTCGCTCCAGAATCTCCCTCTTCCAGGCCGGCATCCTCGGGCTCTCTTGTCCAGCCTCACGGCGGAGCACACGCAAGTCACCGCCAGACATCGTGACGGGAATTGGGTGATCTCCGCAACTTTGCTGCCGCTGCGCCAGGGCTGGAATTTGAAGCTTTATCCGCCGACTGCCGCTGTACCTGCAGCGCCGAGCACTACGCGCACACACACATCCCGTCTCTTGTCTTCTCTTGCGCTCCCCCTCCTGTCTGGCTCGCTGATGCCTCGGCTCCGCCCCCTGCACCTGTATTCCAGCTACGTCACCCTTCCATTTAATAGCACGTACGCTCCCCGTGTACCCGGATTGGTCACAACTATGTTAGGCGCCCCCCTAATTTGCATTTTATGCCGCCCTCCACAATAAACCCTCCTCTATCTATTGTTGCCAAGGCATAGAGCGACTGCCGATCAAAACTGCTGGCACCGCCCCCCCAGACTATTTTAACCCTCTACATTTTTTTTTGTTGAATCAATTTTATTTACCAGCCGGTACTACACATCTAAATAGACTACAAACAACCAAATGATGTTTATGCTGCTTCACGTATGTCTAAATCAAAAGTATTAAAACGAAATAAAATATTGATTGATACATAGGGGCAACAAAGAACGGGAAAGCGCAGCTAGGTGGAGTGGATCACTATTGACGCTGGATAACCATCATAACCATGTCCTGTGTCACGCGTCAGGTTTGGGTGATATAAGCTGTTTTAAATCGCTGGTTTAAAGCCGCTCCCCCCCATCAAAAAAGAAAAGACAAAAAATATTAATATTCATTAGCCATATCACAGCCGCTCTATTACTATGCACTAGCAGAGTCAGTGCTGCCCGGAGCGAAAGACTGATAGCCCGTAAGTAACAGATTAATTAATATACTACAACCCTTCTGAGCGCAGTCTAGCAGCACCCCATCGCTTCCAACCAAAAATACAGCGAACCTAGAAGTGGTAAGATGACTAGTTTCCTTTATCACATATTTCTCAGTGCGCTGCCCCTGCGAACTGCAAATTGTGTCGCTGGAAATAGCAAGTCAGAAGCAGGAAGACAAAAAAACCGCAATTATCCTGTGCACAGCATGCTTCATTTTGCGTTTCTGTAAGGGCCATCGCACAAATCCTCACCCGTCTGTGATATTGCAAATGCCCCGAATGAAATATTGACAAGCCTTTGATATGATAATTACACACGGGAACTGGTGCACACTCAAGGACAGAAACGACACGAAACGCACCTTCATGTATAAGACAAAGACGGCGAATAACAACTAAGCAGATAATAGATACATTGTGGGTTATTTTTATTTCCCAACTTCTTCAGTAGTTGCTTTATCTCCATTGAACAAAACGCACGGCAGATAGAAGAGCCTCACGATGCATTAAAAATTAAGTAATAAGATGCTGTTCCTTGGTTTTCTCGCAGTCTAATTTTAGCTCAGAACGAGGTCTTGCTTAACAATTACAGCCATCTAAGGCCTTCATGGGAAGTCATAATATCAAGTGTACGTTATCTATAATAAGAATCAACAAAACTAGTTAATCAAAAGTATGTCTGAATTAGTGACTACGAGGCTATTGAACCATGGTGTAATATGCATTATTTTTCATACTCTGTAGGCATGGTTGTCCAAAGTCCAAAACTAACAAAACCGTCTCTATCCCGTAAACTAGCATTTTTATTTGCTGGTCGTAAATGACGCAAGTAAACAAATGATAGGCCTACACAAAAAAAGTGGAAGAGCCTATGTCTAATATTTAAACTGGGAAAAGAAGAAATGGTGAAAGCGTTTTCTTTATGCAAATATATTCTGATAGGCCTACCCTTTCGTTCCAAGTCCAATTTAGGCCCATGCTTACCAGATGGGTGATGTGTCGGATATTCGTTAATATACCAATATATGTTATATGTATATATAGTGTGACACCTCTGTAGAAACTGTTTAACAATTTATTTCTAGATTGCATTTCATAGTTTCCCGTAAGTTTGTCATTAAAGGAATAAACAGTCTTGACAAAGTCTTTTACTTGAAGAGCAGGGAAGACATTGTTATTGTGTTGAAAGAAAATCATTCCCCTGAGCTTTGGTTTGTAGCATGGTTTAAAACTTTTCTTAAGGCAGGGATTGCCAAATGAAAGCAGACCAGATCTAAACGTCCCCTATTACTAATGCGTGATTTTATAATTAACTAAGAACTAAACACCGGGGCACGTTTCTCTTGAATGTTCTTGCCTCCAAGGATCTGAGGGGTGGATAATAACACGCGTCACGTGGCGTGCATATCGACAATGCATTTGGTTTCGCAAACCTTTTGTGCAGACAAACCCCTTACGACCCCTCCGCACATCATCAGGGGACAGCGGATCCCCGGTTGAAACGCCTGCTTCACAGGCTTTGGCAGTAGGTCGCTGCTCTGACTTGCTTTTTAAACTAATCCGCAGCCGTCAGCTGCTGAAGGGGAAGATTGTGGAGAAACGACATTTTGGAAATTGAGAGAATGAGGAAATGCTTATTTTGTTAACTGTTTGCAAAAGCTATTTAATCCGAATGATTTAATATTAGTCTTCGTGAAACTATGAGACATAAAAGCAAATCTGGTGTTTCTGTGTAGAATATACGTATTCACAACACAATGTAATTCGAGCTACGGAAGCAGAAACTGTAAGAAACACGTATGATAGAACAAGTTTCTCTGAAAATAGCTAAACCGATGCAGACCTGGCTTCAGCAAAAAGAAAAGCGTGGTTCTATTTCTGATATGTTATTGTCCAATAGTCATGAGTTCAACTTCGATACGCCTACTTAAATTTTTTTACGAAAATCATGACACGGGTGCAACCTATCTACATGTTCAAATATTCGGAGATTTACCTTTAGAAAATAGCTTGTTAACTTAGGAACCGGAAGGGAGAACCCAGGCTTTTAATCCCTCAAAACCAGTGCTTCTCAAACTGGTCCCCAGGGACCTCCACGCGGTCCACGTTTTTGCTCCCTCCTAACTCTTGGGGAATTGGGAGAGTAGCAAAAACGTGGACCGTCTGAGGACTGGTTTGAGAGACACTGCCCAAAACCACATTGGACATAACATCTACAGTTTCAGCTGCAGCATGGACACAGGGGTGTTCCACGAACAGGATTTCTTACTTAGCCGGGTAACTCAGACTTCTTCGGTAGTCTGGACTAAATGTAAGTGAACGAAGATAAAATATTTTTAGCCCAGACTACCTTAAATCGAACAAGTTATCCAGCTAAGCAAGAAATCCTGCTTCGTGGAACACCCCCATGGTTCCTAAAAGTCACTACAACAAAGCTCAACACCATCTATCATTTATACCTGCCTGTCCTATGCGGGAGACCGAAGCCAATTCTGGTCAGGACACCAACACCATTCACACATACATTCACACCTAGGGGCAATTTGGCAAGTCCAATTAACCATAGCATTATTATTTTTTGGTCTTTCAGCTTCATTTTTAGTATGGATACACAAAAAGTCATTGTTCAGCATAAAACACTTTCTGCGTAATGATCCAGAAAGAAAAACACATACGAATTACAAAAATGCACAAGCTTAAATATCAATCATTTATTTACAATTTGTACATTTACCAGCAAAAGTAAAAAAAAAAAAAGATAGGCAGACAGGAAGATGAACAAAAGTTGGACGCAAACAAAACTAGTTAAACCACAGAACCGGATTAACTTCTGTTCAAGTAAAACATGGATATCTGAATAACAGACGAAGGCAAATCAAGATGGGATGTCGTTACCAAGCATCTTGAATGCAACCTGTATGTTTTTAAATTAGTTATGCCGATCAAACTTTACAAGATACACAGCATTTGATAAGGGAATACATTTCATGTGCCAGTCCATTTTCACGTAAAATAAAGACACAGCAATGTAGTCTCCCACTGGCTGGGACAAAGCAGCCAGCGTTTTGATAAAGACCCTGCTGGACCAGACTGACCAGAGCCCTGAAGGCGTAAACAGCTACAGCCCTTCTTGCTGACGGAGTGCTAACAAAGGCATCCATGAAAATACATCTTTTCCCCTTTTTTTCTTGTAAATTCAGCATCATTGTTATCGATCTCTGGTTAGCCAGAACCAACAGGCTAGCAAGGCCAATAGAGCAGGTGTCCAGGAGTCAGGCCAACCATCCTCAGGTTCATAACGAATCCTTGAATCATTACGCTCTGGGGAGCAGTGGGGCAACCGGCCCTTCCTCCTGTAGTGCCCCCTCAGTTGACGCGGCAGGCACGGATCATGAGCAGCTGCAGGAGGATGAAGAGCGGCGAAACGATGAGGCCGAACCACAGGTTGGGGGCCTGGTCCAGATCGGCGAGCTTCTGGCAGAGCAGCACCTCGCACACTAGCTTGAGGCTGAGCACGGTGAGCACCCAGAGCAGGCGGAGCACAGCCAGTCGGCGCTCGCCCTCCTGGTGCAGCCGGATCGACACAATAGCCGTGAAGTAGGTGCTCAGTCCATCGGCGGTGAACAGGGGCACAAACACATGCCACCAGCTTATCGCCTCTGCAAAGTCAACTCGCACCGCCACCAGCAGGCTGAAGATGAGGAGAGCGCCAAGGTGCAGGAAGAGCTCAAACGTGGCGAAGCCCAGCCACTGGACCAGCTCCCGCAGGGAGAACAACATGTTTGCTCAGGCTGCAGGACTGACCAGACTGCTATACTGAGCAAAGGGGGTGTGGAGTGACCCCCTCCCCCCCTCGCCACTGTCTGAGGGTCCAAACAGAGGTACACAGAGCAAAGAAATAAACTAAAAGCAAGTTAAAATTACACAGAGGTTCCAAAAGTGAAGCAGAGTTCGTTTTGTGATGAATTATCAGACCAGGCCCTGGAACACATTGTCACAGGGAACTTGGTACAGGGAACTCGAAACAATAATACTGAATGTTGCCAACACTTAAGGGACAGAGTTGACCATTCAGCCTGCAGGTTAAAAGAGAAATAGAAGATTTAGACAGAACATAATCCCACTCCTAATTACGAATTAATAAAACATCATATAATGACGCTCCGACGAATTAATGTTACGCTAGGAAGTAACTTCTCACCAGTTACGGTCAGTTCTGACTGCCGTCCATGCAATGAGCTCAGGCCGACATTGCATCATTCAAATACCACTGATGAGCATTCATAAAACCTACCAGGGAACGTGTTGGCCCATTAGCTAAACCATCTATAACACAATGGTTTCTAAAGCTACTGAGAGCAAACGTATATGAACAGTTGAACACTTTGTCACTAGCAAAGGGTTTGCTCACTAGACAGTAACACGAGAATGAACAAAGTAGCGAACATCTTAACAACCGGACTGTCCTCTTACATCTCTAGTCTAGCCAGCAGGCTAAGGCTGCATGTTTATATTCCATTAGACAATTGACATGAGAGAAATCGTTCGAACACCATCTCAGTCAACCTTCAAATCAAACCGCAAACCAGTCAACACTAAATGAACCAGTGGAACTGTTTAACATTATATAATAATTACCTTTGATTCGGGCAAAACAGAAGTGCAAGCTTACTATCAGCCTTTCCGACATTTGTATGCCTCCCATCTCAGTCTCTGGTCGCGATAATACAGATACCGCGAGATTTTGGCAATAGGCTCGTGGTTTGCGTCGCTGCGCGATCGTACGGTGGCCACAGAGGTCATTTCCAATCATTCCACTGCTGTGGTGTCGGTTGCTGGTCTGGAGAAGGTAAATTGAATTTATTGATCAGGTGGATTCTGCGCATTAGATAGCGGGTATTGCTTCGATTTCCGATGGTTTGTTGTTGTTTTTTCTGCAAATTAAATTTTACTCTTTTAGAAAGGTTTCCGGTAATGGAGAGCAATCCATTGACCAACCCGACGCAGCGGGAGGTCGAAGGTGGAACTTTTTTGGACTAAAGAATTTGCCTAGTTTAGCTTAGATTAATATTGCTTAATAAATTAATATTTTCAAACTTATTTCATAGTTTATTAGCCGTATAAGTTACCCATTTAACTGAATTGCTAGACACCTGAAATGAGCGTGTGGTTTTCAGCTGAATCTAAAAACGGATAAAGTAGTAACATTGAATACGTCAGTGGTAATTTATTGTAATTATAGGTGTACTGTTTCAGTTATTGGAGGGAGGGAAAGTCAATGATTAGTACTGCACACTTATTATGCACTCAAAAACAAAGCATTATTGTCAGGGCGCTGTACAAAATCGTAAGAGTCTTATTAATAAAATTAGCTGCATTCTTGTCATTTGTCAGACACTTCTGCAGTGGGCCACGCATCAAGAGGCGGCTCGTGCGCATGTTTGCCCACTTTTTTCCAGATGTTTTGTTTTTGGAGGGGGCATCTCATCGCTTTTGTTAACCAAGCGCCACAAAGCTTTGATAAGAAATTGTTATTAAACAATTTTTTATCAAAGAAAGGTTGCGAATCCGACCCAATGATTGATGATGGATATCCTGGGCTAGATCCTGGGCATTGTTTCAAGGTGCATTTTCTGTCTCTCCCCCTCCTTTTAGTTCCAAAATGCAGCCAGTGGAATCCATCCTACACAGTGGCTATTTCCACCCCACCCTCAGATACTGGCAGTCCTCTGCTTCGGACCTGAGGCCAGAAAACCTCATTTACCCCATTTTCATCACGTAACGTCTCCGTCGGCTTGTTTGCTTGTTGTTTCTATTGGCTGGACAGTAATCACATGTTAATCTTTTCTACCAATCTGTCCTTAGGGACAGTCCTGATGCTGTGGAGCCCATTGCCAGTCTCCCCGGGCAGGCTAGGTAAGAAGCCAAGTGTGCACATAGCTCTTTCATACCCATTCTGCATACATCATCTGTTAGTAGTCACTTGGGATAGGTCAGGGATGGGCAATGTTATCCAGAAACAGCCATTGTGTATGTGTGCTTTCGCTACAACTCCCTAATTGGATGACTAGCTAGAGGACTGATTGGCTGAAGAGTCCTCACACCTGGGTTTGAACAGCTGACCTAAAGGTTACCCCAAAAACCTGCATACACACCGGCCCTTTGCGGATAAGACTGGCCTCCCCTCGAGTAGGTAGATGGTTAATTTAGCAATATTGGGTGAATGGGATGGCAGAGTGAGATGGAGGAACCAGTTAATTCAGGGATCAGCCTCATTTGGCACTCTATGCGCATGATCCTGGGCGGCAGTGAGGGACCGTGCAGGAAGTCTGTTACAAGGAGCAGATTATACAGACAGTACGGCAACACAGAAGTGGTTTGGCAGTTTTTGCTTAGAAACTGTGACAAAGCCCATGATGCAGAACAAGTACCAACTTATTTGTAGTAGATGTGTCCGACAGTATTTTCAATTCAACTGTCACATGTGTCCTGAAATGCAATCAGGAGCCACACTGTAGAAAGTTGTAACAGGAGTTGGGTGCGAATGAGGGGTGGGGGGGGAGTCAGTGGGTTGGGCTCCAGTCCCTAGATAAAGGGGGTCTGGTTGGGCAGAACTCAAGATAAGCAACATATGAGATCTTTGTTCCCCTGTGCCTCCAAGTCCTTGCTTATGAAATAAAACCCATGACTGTTTATGCTCACATCCCCCCTACTGCTTTGATCCTGACATGTTCAGATGAGTGGTGTGTAGTGAAATATTAAGAAGTTAGATACCAAATACCCTACAGGCAAAACCCCTTTGATCTTCACTGGAGTTTTTAAATGCTGCTGCTGGATGACCACAGCATGTGCTCCTGTGCACGTCTTAAGCATCTGGCAGAGATGCATGTGTCAGAGATATAAAGCCAACTGCGTGAGGCCTTTTACAATGAGATTTAATTATTAACCAAGGTTGTCCCCATATTCTTTAATAAGGAAAAGTTACATCCTGGGTTTTACGTTTTTTTTTTTTTTTAAGGAGTCGTTCTGTCCTAGATGGATGTATTTTTATTAAGCAGCACTTTGTCATTTACTTGAAATATGTCCTCAGTTCTGATGCTGTCAGATTAGTTTGGCGATCTGTACGTGAGTCAAACTGCTTTACTTTTAACTTGAATTAATATAGGGCTCTGAATTTTCAGCCATTACTCAGTAAATGCTTAGGGTTCCTTACATTCATAGTACACCATTCAGTGTTTTTTTTCTAAAAAAAAAAACTTTTCTCCCCGTAGATATGGAGTGAACAAAATGGAGGACATGTTGCGCCCCCTTGTGGATAAAGGCCTGAAGTGTGTTCTGATTTTTGGTGTTCCTGCTAAAATTCCTAAGGTGGGAAGACTCATATATCAGTTTTTTTTAATAACGTGCATTTTAGGTCATAGGATAATTCATTTTAGGTGTTTGCATATTTCAAAGCCTGCAGAGTGCCTTGTTTTCTTTTCGCAGGATGAGCGCGGATCTGCCGCAGACGCAGACGACACGCCAGCCGTCTTGGCTGTAAAGAAGCTGAGGTCCACCTTCCCAGACCTGCTGATCGCCTGCGATGTCTGCCTGTGCCCATATACCTCCCATGGCCACTGCGGTCAGTCTCTCCATGGGTCACATGACCACTGATCAGCTGGTTTGCATGCCATATGCATTGTGATCGATGTTTGCCCTTGACTCACATGAAATTCTGCGGCTGTCGGGGTACAGTTGGACATGTCAGATCTTGAAAGGCAGAGAAGAAAAGCAACCGATTGCAAAACTGATCCCAGAATGTTTTTTGTGTCCTAACCCTTGTTTTAAATTTGGGCGTGCTTATGTTATTCTAACAGGTATTTCGCAAAGCAGAGCTTTAAAACCCACATTTATATGGCAAGTCTCTGTGGTGATTCACCTAAGGCCTTGGTAAACAGCGTTGGTGGTTTATCTGAAGGGAGAGAAATGATCATGTTATAGCAGACAGAAAATGTTAAGGTCAAAAAAAACTTGTTAGCTCAAAAAGAACCATCAAAATGATCTTATGGTAGAATAAACACAGTATGTGTGTAAATGGCAGTTAATAATTAACATTATGAATGTTGCAGCATCTGTAATATAGTGTCCACATTTGGATTAAGGTACTGCACTGCGCAGGTAATTTTTTTGTTCAGTGAATGCTGTCCCATGCTGTAAAAGTTCAATCTTGTAGGTCTTTACATTGGTCATATGAATGGCCTCCTCTCGTTTTGTACATTTCTTACGTTCTTATGTCGTGTAGTATTTCCATCCTGTGTATGGTTGCATTTGCATTGCAAACACACTATGTGGGTGATTCTCATGCAATCTTGGTTTTGAAGATTTCAAATATCACCCATTTTCCCACCATTTTATGCCTTTTCCTCTTTTAACCAACATCCAAGCTGAAATGAAAGAGGTAAAAACACGTTGATGACATCAGTACATGTGACTTTTCTAACATCAGTTATGGGTCAGCAGATGAAACCTCAGGTTGGTTAACAGAGCCTGTACTCTGTCATATATACAGGGATGCACATAACTGATGCGCATTGTCAGTATGCATTGTCAGTATACCGTGGAAGTAGTTTGCATTATCCATATAAAGGTGAAAATGCATTGCAATTTTTGTCACAACAGTGCAACTGCACATAAAATAAATACGCATTTGTGCTGTTAAAACAAGAAATTGCTACGTGTACTGCTTTATACAGCAAATGCATGCTTGTGCACCAGTTACGTACATCCTTAACAATATATCAGGGTATTTAAACACATCCAGAGATTAAATTTACTAGATGGTTCATCTACCCAAGGTGGGTTTTTAATAGCTTTGGAAGAATAATGTTTGTGCTTCCTGAATCGTAACACATTCTTTAGCAAGTTCCGGAAGGCTGTCTTCCTGGTGACGATGTCATGGCAGTCTTCTGGTATTTATGAACGTGTGACAGCACTGATTCTTCCTGCATCCCCGGTGCAGGGATTTTGCGTGAGGACGGCTCTTTGGACAATGTGGCGAGCTGCATGCGTCTGGCAGAAGTTGCCCTAGCCTACGCACGCGCAGGTCAGTGGAGGGGGGGGGGGTCATCTCTTAGGTCTCCCTCATTCATTCCCTTCACCCTGTGTTGTGAAATGTTCCCCCCAGGACCACTTTTGTGCTGTATATTCACAAGAGAAAGAAAAATCACCAGCTGTGCTGCATGTCTAAGCAGTTAACTCGGTCTCTGCAGGCTGCCAAATCATCGCCCCATCAGACATGATGGACGGTCGAGTGGGAGCCATCAAGCAAGCTCTGATGCTCAATGACTTAGGAAACAAGGTAAAGCTGTGGGAGGGGGGTTCTTTGTTTACCTGCGTAGGTTTATTAGCTGTAAAAACAGAGCTGGAAAAGCTTTCTGGGCAGTAAACGATGTAAATGACAGTGAGGCGAATCTGGCCTATTTGTCAAGTGCTCGGGTTTATTACCTGGTAGCTAAAAGAGCTTTTGTACTCATGTGGAAACTTTCCCTCTCGCCCTCAGGTATCTGTGTTAAGCTACAGCGCCAAGTTTGCATCCTGCTACTACGGTCCCTTCAGGTAAACAAAGAAATTTGCCTCTTACCCCCCATATCTGCGTCTGCCCATTGTGTCTGCCACCTACGCCTCGTGCCCCGTTATGTGAGGGCGGAGCCTCCAGGGTCCTGTTATCCTGTGAAAATTGATTAAGGACCTTCAGGAGGTTTTTATTTATGGAACAAAAAGTACAAATATCGCAAGAATGGCCCGGATGGTGCCTTGTAAAGATGCATTCTGCTCTTGTTGGTGGTGGGAAGCATGGTGTGGGAGGGGCTACCGCAGGGGCACCACAAAACAGACGTGGTGCATTTAATGGCGGTGCTAGTCAGGCTGCCCCGTGTGACCCCTGTCTGACCTCGTTCCCTCGTGTAATGTGCAGGGATGCCGCCCAATCAAAGCCGGCGTTTGGAGACCGACGGTGTTACCAGCTGCCACCTGGTGCAAGGGGGCTGGCACTGCGGGCAGTGGTACGTGTGCAGGTGCATCCGTGTATGTCTGTGGAGTGTCTTATGGTGTTTTGGTTGATTTATTATTTATGGCTTGCCTCCAGGACAGGGACGTCAAAGAGGGGGCGGACATGCTGATGGTGAAGCCAGGCTTGCCTTATCTCGACATTGTGAGGGAGGTAAAGGACAAGGTCAGTACAGCCTGTGTTGATTACCCTGTACTGTTGGACACGTTTAGCAGCTGCTTTCATCCAAGCTTGGAGTTGGAGAGAAGGGTCTGTGGAGCAGTTGGGATTGTGGGGCTCGATCGAGTGCTCAGTGGGTATAGAGCTCTGCTAGCCATGGGGATTTGGACCCGTGACCGTCCAGACATGGACACAGGTCCCTAGCAAACAGATTTTTTCTGGATTTATCAAATTAATTTGACAGTTAGTTATTAATTGAAATAAAGTTGCATTTCTTTCTGTCATTACTGGCATGAAATGGCCACTTGCTTCACCAGACTGGAATATAGAGGGGTGTGAAAATGGTTTTGTGGCTTTTAATGCAGTCTTAGATTCTGAAGCAACCCTAGTCATTTAGTTGTAAAGAAACGCTTCAGTTGGCTTCCATCTTATCTGCTTGCTAGGCCATACATTGTATCCAGATTTTTTTTCTTACCACTATATTTCCTTTGCCCCCCCCCCAATGCAGCACCCTACCCACCCCCTAGCCGTGTACAATGTGTCCGGGGAGTTTGCCATGCTGTGGCATGCGTCCCAGGCTGGAGCTTTTGACCTTCGCATGGCTGTGATGGAGTCCATGACCGCCTTCCGACGAGCTGGTGAGTTGGTGAGCAGGGGGAGGTGTGAGGGATGGGGGGGGGGAGTTAAGAGGAATAGCGAGATGGTCAGGCACGGTACTTGAGAGGAAAATTTCAATTACGTCAGTTTAACACTAATTATCATTGCATAAATGTGAATTTCATATACAAGGGCTGTCAGTCAATACGAGTGGTCCAATCTTTTGTTTTTTTTTAAGGTGGTTACGACCATAATGATTCATTCTTATGCAGGATTTGCCGCCATTAGATGTGCAGTTGACCCCCCCCTCCCCATAGACACATTGATTCTAGTAAAATATATTGGCCAAAACAATAATGACATGAAATGTATAAAAATAATGATTATAATTACCCTTTTTCTTCCAGGTGCTGATGTCATAATCACCTACTACGTTCCACAGCTGCTCACCTGGCTTAAAGACTAGTTAGTGCATAAATAGACAGGTTTGCAAGAACCTTGAACACATGTTAGTATTCTGTTCACTATAGACTCGCACCAGAACAGTGGTCCATGCAGTCAGACAATCAAATAAGCTGTGGCCATTCCACCACCCCCCCCCCCCCCCCCAAAAAAAACGAAGAAACTCTTCAAGTACTAAACTAATATTCCCAGTATATAAAAATTAACTTTTATGTCTATCTTTATCGCTGTTGGAATTCTTGGGTATTTTTTTTACTTAATAGAGGTTCTTTGAAAAGGGCAACGATGTCGTCTTCCAAAATTTCATCCCTGTACCTACATGTATGCTAAAGTATTCAGTTGGCTTTATGGTTAATAGTAAAACCACTAACCCCCTCTTGTGAAAGGCCTACACTGTCATGTATTTTTTCAACCTACTAAATCAATGTCTTTTTCAAATAATATATAAAAGGTTTTCAGTGGACCTGAATGAAAATGACTAATCATGAATCATTTGTATGTAATGTAGTCTTATAGACCATCCCAGTATTTCCTTATAACTATGCTGGGATAAGAGGAAATATGACTGTTTATAACATAATATATAAGGCCCACCAAATGGAATTGCCATTCCTGCATATTCTGCCTTCATTAGGAACTCGCACATGTTATCAACTGTGCAGAGAAAACAGTCACAATCACACTATATGGCCAAAATATGTAGACACCCGTGTGAGTTAGAGGAAGTGAGTAATTGTCACACCTGTTAGTGAGGCATGTGTTTAAGCGCACAGTGCAATCTCCAGCAACAAACGCTGACAGAACAGGTAGTCTGTAGAACAGATTAGTTACTTTCAATAAGGCACAGTCTTACAATGCTGTCTTTCCAACAAGTTAGCTAGTCAAATTTCTCCCCTTCAGAGCTTCCATAGTCAACCACAAGTGGACCTAATTCAGTTGCAAAGCGGTAGGCCACAGAGAAAGAGCTAATCACTCAACATAAATACTAAAACTGTAAGCAAATCACATCAACGATGTTCCAACATCAAATTAAAGCCTTTTAGAGGAGCAGAGACTGCTTTAGGAACACTGGGCGAACCAATGTCATATTAATACCCCTGGTTTCAGAGTGAGATGTCGGACAAGAAAACTTCCTTATTTGTGTAAGATTAGGTTCATTCTCCCGTTTCCTTTATTAGCCATTTAAGGAGTTGAAGGTAATGACTAAACTAATATCTAGTCCAAATGCTCGGAGCTTTTCTCTGCTGCTATCAGGAAACTCAGATGGCAAAAAAAAACAAACTGTGAGGGTTCAAGCCAAGTGTAGAAGTAAAATAATGACGCCATTGTGTCCTGTATGAAATCTTAAATGAACGAGCAAGCATACGCATATATAAACATACATGAATTTAAAATCTGTGAGCGCATGCACCCTTATACTGAAAGTGCTTTCTCCTCCCGTGATGGTTTTCGATTACCGACTGACACGCAAAATCACCCAAGAGGGGCTCTTTCCCCTTGGCCCCCCCCGGCGCGATCTCAAGGGGTACCGCAAAGTCTGTGCAGGTCACTGCTTGAAAGGGAATCGACCCCGAATCAATGTACCCTTCGAAAGGGTCCTTTTTGAAGACAAAAATGTATTCGGTCTCATAAGAATGTGCAAACGGATGATAATAAAAAGGAAATTATTCGTATATATTAGTTTCATTTGCGACTGAGTTTAATGAACCTTTATGATTCGCTAATCGGTGTTGGGTTTGTCCATTCTTGCATTGATTAACATACCCTTAGGACTGACTTTCGAACGTTTCTGCGATCGGCTTGTAGAGTCTGATCTGAACGAAGGGACTATAGACTATTTGTCAGTGAAAGATTACATCCATATTTTTAAGTAATTGTTTTGTTTCCTGGTTATAACATCGATTTAGTCAAAAGAAATAGAAGTTAACGTGTTCAAAATCGCCCAATGCCAGGTAAGTTTCTGACTCGTGAATAACGTAAACACGTCAATCTTGCTTAGGGTATAGCATTTTGTCTAGCAAAGCAGCAGTTAGGGTTAGCTTTGTTCATTTCCTTGCAAAATGGGTTTAAAGAAGAACCATGACGATCTGTATTTATATTATTGTGTGCGACTTGAAAGGATAAAACGTATTTTACCTAGTAATACATAATTATTTAACTATCATTCATTTGGCAGCGGAAGGACAACTAAGTAAACTTACCTAACGTTATTAGGCTAGCTCGGTAATTACATATCATTCTTCATAACACATTAGCTAATACGGCAACAAAGCACATGGATACTGTTATTGGATAAAACATCGAACATAATTACGTTAGATTTAGCTGCTAATTGCAACACTTAAACGTTAGCTTTGCAGGCGCATTGCTAAACGCGTAAAAGCACAACGCTGTCCTGTTTAAAAAAAACAAACAAAAAAAACTGGTGTCAGCTAAGTGATCGTACATAGAACTGTTTGAACGTAGTGATTGATGGTAACTGGATGTTATTTTGGGTATTTACTTGGTTTCTTATGAGAGGGGATGGTCCGAAATTATTTTTACGGAGATGTGGCAGCCTGATAAAATGTCTCTGACGCCATTGCTCGCCCTGCCACCCGTATGATCGCCAGTTTTCAGGCGTTGATTTGCTCCAAACGTTTAGAAAACGGATTGGGGTTATTTAAGTAATTTTTGCACTGAGTGTAATGCTTATTTTTCACTTAATCGTGACAGCGATGTTCTTTCACATTTTGCTGGTGATCTGATGACAACAAAATACCTGTTATGGCCTGGAAACGTAAATATTAACCGACTACACGATTTAAGTGTGCAGAGTGAGTAAATACAAATGATTACCGCTTAAATAGTGTAGCGTTGCTCGCATGTTATGTAACAACCGCACACCACTAAATGCTAGGTTAAAAACGAATAAATCCGCGGCTAGTTAATGATACAATTATTAATGAATGTAGCATTAATATCTTTCATCAAATAACATTCCGGCATTGCGGAAGGCAGCCGCGTCCTCCTGCTTCGTAACGGGGCCCACTCTTGTCACGGCTGGCACAAGCCAGGCTTTGAACGCGCTTTACGTACGTTACAAGCGCTCGGAAAGGGACGAACGTGCGTCGCTTACATCCGAATGCAGAAACAGACGTGCGTCGATCACATAAGCTGACAGTGCAAATAATGGCTTTGATTCGTTCTTATGCAGACATACGAGGCACGCTACGTGTTGTGTTGGTTGTGTTTGGGGATGTCCATCACTGTACCCTCGGCTATGTAAACATTCATTACACAATTTTGATATGTTCAGTGGCTTTTTATTTTCATTTCAACTATATGCAGTTAGTACAATACACAATGAAAGGAAACAACTTTCTTCCAAGACTATGGTGCTACATAAAGCGACAAAAGACTACAAAGCTACACAGAACGACATAAAGTGTATGTTTGTAGATATGGGCAGACATTGTAGGATAGTGCAGTAAGGCAAGACTGTGGCACAAATGAAAACAGTGTAGCGCAGACCAGTGCACAGTCCTGATGATTATAGGTGCAAAAACATTGCAGGTTGTGCAGAGATGTGACAGTATATTAATAAAAAAAAGTATGAACATGACATTACATTGAAACTTATTTGAAGGCATATTTGGCTCTGAAGCCGTATTCGATGTGAACATTAGCCGTCACTGATTCGTGCATTGAGATCTGTGTACTTAGCCAAAGACTGGTTCCATGTGTTTTTTGGAGAGTGTGGATAAAGTGCAGGTCAGGCGTGCTGCACTTGACTTATTTGAGGAACAGAACACATGAATTCTTGTGCAAAAACTTGACATTTTGTCAGGAGGCCCAGAATTCCTAGCTACGTTTTGGTGTGGGTTGTAAGCATGCTGTATCCTCGCTCTGCGTAACTGATTATGGAAAATGAATCAGTGGAAATAATGATATAATATATCATATAGTTAAAGTTGTAGTATATTTTGGTCAGTAGTAATATTGCATCAGACATCCAGGGTCGGGGGTTAGAATCCTGCCTTTGTTTCTGTCGGGTACTCATGTGACCTCCTATAGTCCCGGAATGTGTGTGTGTAAGTGAAATAAAAATAACAGTAATAATATTAACAAGGTATGGAGGAAAATCTCACTATGAACATAACCCACCTACATGGATGTGCTGCTCCTTGTCAGGCTTCCACGCAGCACTTGGGAAGCTGTGCCTTTTTGGGCACAGGCTGAAAGCAGGGTTACAGATTCCCAGCTGCTCGCTCTTCATTTAGAATCGCTGCAAGTCAGAGAAGGCACTTCTTTCCTGAATTGTGACACTTGAATTCACATGGAAGCCAATAGACCAGTGTGTGTCACCCGAAACATTTTAACTTTCCGCACAAATACATTTCTAACTCCGACAGTTAGAAAATCCTTAGACTTTTCCAAATAGGTTTTGCCTAATGCTATCCTTACTATGTTTTCATGGTGACATGGGTGACAGCTGCTAGTTAAATGAAATAAAGGTCATGACATCCCATTTGTAATCAGAGGATGATCAAGTGAGCTCTGCTTTTAAATAGCCATTTCATGACCCCACACTTTCATCTTGCCCCATCATTGCAACCCCCCTCCCCCCCCTACAGGATGTCAGGATGGCCAGTGGGCCACCTCTTCCGGACAGCCTGGTGCTGGAGATCTTCCTGCATCTGCCCCATAACGCGGTGCTAAGCGCGGGGCTAGCCTGTCACCAGTGGCTTGCCGTGTCCCGGGATGAGTTCCTCTGGAGGGAGCTGTTCTACACCTACTACCGCATCCCACGCTCCGTGCCTCGGCATCCAGGTAGGAGAGCTGTCCGTCATGTGATCGTGGGCTGGGTGGTTCACTCCCACATGGTTATTAAGATCCGTTTCACAGACATTCACGGGGCAGTTCGCAGCAGTTGTTGTGGGGTAATGTTCAGTAGATTAGTGCTCAGTAGATTAGTGCTCTGTGCCCATTATGGGAAGGTTTCTGGTTCAAATCCTGTAATCAGCAGAGTGATTTCACCGTTTGGCCCCTGAACATGGCCCTTAACCAGGGACTGGCTGATCCTACTTTCTCCGTTGTATCTTGTTTTAGATAAAAGCATCTCCTAAAATGAATAAAACATAGACTTAGGTTTTTGTGTGCAGATCTTGAACTAGCTGTCCATGCCAAATATAGTTGGTGCAGGCAGTAGCTTGAAAACGGCTCTCCCACAGATATGGTACTGTTTTCCTGCTGGTATTATTGCTAGCTTATGGACTGTTGGATTGTTATGACTTTACCTTGTTGGGTTTCATTCTACACTCACCTAAAGGATTATTAGGAACACCTGTTCAGTTTCTCATTAATGCAATTATCTAATCAACCAATCACATGGCAGTTGCTTCAATGCATTTAGGGGTATGGTCCTGGTCAAGACAATCTCCTGAACTCCAAACTGAATGTCAGAATGGGAAAGAAAGGTGATTTAAGCAATTTTGAGCGTGGCATGGTTGTTGGTGCCAGACGGGCCGGTCTGAGTATTTCACAATCTGCTCAGTTACTGGGATTTTCACGCACAACCATTTCTAGGGTTTACAAAGAATGGGGACCGGAGGGT